GAGAGAGAGAGAGAGAGAGAGAGAGAGAGAGAGAGAGAGAGAGAGAGAGACACACACACACACACACACACAGACGCGCACCACGCGGCCCAAAAAACTGCCACTCACCCTGGTCAGAACGTCAACGATAAGGTTCTCGATCATCCGATGCATCGCTGCCGCCTGTTGAATCGTTTAGCCAGCTTCGAGGCATAAAACGTCTGCCGTCCATCGCATGTGCTTCGATCAACCTTACAACAAGGTGAACGTCCTGCTGCCTTTAATTTCTATCCCAAAGCGACCAGTCTAGAACTAGCGTGAAGTTAAACACGTCCGCAACGACAGCAGCAGCAGCAGCAGCGACAACAACAGCAACACACCGGGTGCAGCTGATCTTGAACATGGCAGCGAGGGGGCCGATGTTGTCCCACGGCGGGCTCCCGGTGAGCATTTCTAGGACGGTGGCCCCAAGGGACCAAACGTCGGCCTTAATCCATCCGTCTTTTAAGTCCTGCACCTGCAAATGCGGAACCAAAGGGAGGGAGACAAAACAAGGAACGGCGTGAGATGTATCCCCTCGCGCGAAAAAGCGATGTATGTTGGAGACAGACAAATACAAATCTTCGTTGCAAAAAGTAAGTTACGGATAGAGCATCCTGCTCATGGGAGATTACTTTTCGAAAGCGACCGAGCCACATCTGGAGGAATTTTGGGAAAGAATCACAATCGAGGTAGTAGTCTACAGCGATGTACACCCCGGTGGTCTGCCATCATCCCGACCATAGCATTCAAACCAACCAATAAAGCTCGGGGCAAGCATGGGGCAAGATAAGAGGGAGGGGGGCTGTTGAAGAACAACAATGTTTCTGCGCCGCGGAGGTCATTTTACTGGCGGCGATTGTTGCTGTCATATTTGCGTTGAAAGCCACCATAAAACCTCTATCTAGGCCCCTCGTCTAAGGGTGTTGAAGGACGCAAAGTATGGTCACAAGCTTATCCCAAAACGGGGTGGCAACAGCAACGGAATCGCTTGCGGGGTTCTTACATTTTTGCCATCTGATCTCTATCTTGACTGATTTCGACAACGTCCGAGGAAGCATCTAGCAATCACACACCACGAGACACGTTACACCAGTCGGAAGTCTTGCGCGACATCAAATCCTCGATTTGGCACACAGAGAAGCGGTTCGGGCTTGTTTTCCAATCGAGCATCACGTGTCCTGCCTCCACACACGACCTCCCAAACCAAGAACAAAATTCCACGACTGTAATTTCAAGACACAACAGACGACACGGCGGGTGCTCGAACAAGTTCTCCGCATTGAGGAGTCCCGATACTCCAGTGGAGGACTTTTGAATAGACCCTGATTACCATGTAGCTGGCCAAGAACCTGAAAAACGAGGTGGGGTGACCATTCACGCTACCTCAGAACCGGTTGGAGTACAGGAAGCGCCCGCACTTACGAGCTTGGCAATAAAAACATTGAGCCTGAAATGAATCAAAATCTAAGAGCTTGAGCACCATATGTGAGCTCGATTGAGAACCCCTACAACTCAACCTATATGACCGAAATTTGTAGCATAACCTTATGAACAAAGAACCCCGGGCTCGGGAAACCTAGAGGTCCTGAAGTGCGGGCGATTTCTGTAGTGCAGAAACGAGGGAAAGTTGGGGGAAAGTCTGGCCAGGTTAAAGCTGCGAAGACAGCGCCAGTAGCCACAACAGTAGCATCACCAACAACGAAAGAGGAGGGCACCGACAACGACAAACAACGACGAAGGAAAATAGCACCTGCAACACTTCTGGGGCCATCCAAAACGGCGTCCCCTTGACGCTCTGCACCCCTGAGGTGCCGCTGGTGCCCGACAACCCCTGCAGCGCGAAAACAACAGAGTGGGCAAAATGCAAATGTGTTTATAGAAAAGCGGCAAATGGAGCGCTTGAAAGGTGTCAATCAACACAGCCAAACAGGCCCGACGAGTACCTCTGAGAAGGAAGCGTGGGAAAAGATGCGCTGTTGCTAGAGGAACACGTGCCGAAGAAGAAAAAAATCTCAAAAATTCATATACAGACGTCAAAATACGGCAGTGTTCGCCTCCGCACAATACACAGAGCATGCATGTATCACTGGGCGGCGGTTGTGGATGGGGTCAAGGAGTTGCTCAAACGCATCGTTGGCGCTCTCTCACATCTCCTGCGTTTGTTGAAAAGAAAAGAAAACAAGACATAGGGCACGAAATAGAGGTCCATTCTGCTGTTTGAGCGGGAACTCAAGCGCCCGTAGCCCGAGAGGTCTATTTTGGGTGCTTCAGGGTAGGTGTAGAGACCATGAACCGCTTGCTTTTGTCGTTCGCTCACCACGATGCGCTTGGACATGCCGAAGTCAGCAAGCTTGATGGCACCCCCCTGGTTCACGAGGCAGTTGGCGCACTGCGTTGGGATACGGTCGAAGCAGCGGCGCAGATTGCTCTTGGTATGGGGGGGGGGG